TAGGTGAAACAAAGTGTTGCTGATGTGATGATCAGGTGATCTTCTGTCTACTACCTGCTTGGTATTTGGGCTGAGGTCATGAAAAAAAAAATAAAACAGAAGCTCTGTCATTAAACAACACAATTAGGAAAAAATTAAGACTCTTACCAGGCTTAAGAGACAGAAAAATATCAAGAATGCTTAATGTTAAACTTCAAGTTTAAAAAAAAAAAAAAGGAAGATCCCTAACATTTCAAAAGAAATCATTTTCCTATGTTCAGTTGTGATACTAAATCTAAGCAGTGGTAACATATGGTGGCTATAAATCCCAAAAGATCTATGATTAATGCTTAAAAGTACAGAAAAGTTCTAGAATTACCACAAAATTATACACATTACCCAATAACAGAAAACTAGTGGCATTTAGAAACAAGCAAAACAGTTTCAGGATATAGAGATAATAAAAACTCTCCTAGTGTCAAATATATATACAATCTAGTGAAAAAAGACAAATAGGTAAATTTAACACAAAACAGAATGGAAGTAACAGTTAAACACAAGTATTATGAAAATAGGTCTATTATCCTCCAATGTTTAAACAAGTATTCCCAGAGAAGGCAGCATCTGCATCATCTCTTGAAGGAAAAAGGAGAAACGATGTTTTGCAGGTCCTGTAACAATGGTACAGAGAACTGCAACACATTTCCTATTACATGCAATACCAAAGACCCCACTAATTAGAAGGCAGGATGTGTGGACGGATGTGAAAAGATTGCCCAGAAAGGGAGACTAGGATAGATCTTAAGGAGATCTGGCAGAAATTACTCAGAAGATGTCTATGTGTAAGGAATAAACTATGTCAGTAAAAGGGTAAGGCACTGCAGACCTTTTAAAGAACAAGGATTAGAGGCAGATGATACAGTAGGAAAATCTCAGGATTTAGGTTAAATAGATCTTGGCTAGAATCACAGCCCTGCTACTTACTAGCGTTAGGCTTTTCCAAAGTGCAAATTCCATATTTATTAAATGGAGATAGTATATGACTACTGTTATAAAGACAATGTGATAGCAATGTATACTATCCAATATATTGTCTTTCAAGTAATGGGTAGTCCAACCTCAGTAGTTTCCTTCTCATAATAAGTGACAGAATAAGGAGATGACAGGGAAGGTATATTTAGTCTCAATGACTGGGAGGAAGACAATGCCATTAACTGAAAAACCATTACATGAGAATATAAAAGAAACAGATCTGTAGAACAGAAAAATGCATAGGATTTGCCAGATTTGCTATGACAGTAGGAGACACACCTATATGCAAAGATGTCAGAAGGCATGGAAAATCTGGGTCTTGAACTCAACAGACTGTTCTGATAGAAATGAAGCTTCAGGAACCAACAGCGTATAAGAAAAAGCAAAGAACACATGAGCCAAGGGATGAAATGAAGAGGTAAGAGTTTTACAAATAAAACACATAGACTAGCAATAGTAAATACTGGATAAAACTGCTAGATTTGGCAATTAAGGAGGTTTCAGGAACATTTGAAATCAGTTTTGGTAAAATCTTGGTGACACCCATTTGCAGACATTTAAGGAATAAATGGGTGGTAAAGAGAGAAAAGAGTGGAAACTACTCCAAGGATTTCAATGGGGCTTCACAAACACAGTTATGGAGACCAGATCGGTGTTATCAAATACTTTAAACAGCTGCATGAAAAAAAACACTGTCCCTCTGCAAAGCTATGAAAGATGACTAAAGATACCAAGTTTCCTCGCTTGTCTAATTAGCATTTTCATACATACATATTTTTAAGTGAATCACTGTTTTATAAATATCATGTTTGGTAGATGGGCTCTTTCATATCGCAAAAATCTTGGTTAAAAAAAAAAAAAAATAGCCCACGGGTTCGGGACATGCCTGGGCAACTTGGCGAGACCTCATCTCTACAATAAATAAAAAAATAAGCCAGGTGTGATAGCGCGTGCCTGTAGTTCCAGCTACTTGGAAGGCTGAGGCAGAAGGATTGCCAGAGCCCAGCAGGTTGAGGCTGTGGTAGCCGGGAACAGCCACTGCACTCCAGTCTGGGCGACAGAGTGAGACTCCAACTCAAAAATAAACAAACAAACAAACAAATAGATTTTAAAAATCAAAAGATTACTAAGTAAAAAAAGGTTGGGAATCATGCCTCTTGGAAGAAATCCAGGGCTGGAAAAAATAAATGCAACACAAATGATTGTATTCCATCACTAAGTTCAAAAACTCAGACAAGGATTTAGTTGCTGGTTGATTTTCTTTTGTTTTCTGATGTGGAAAAAGGCCAACACGTTAGGTCAAGACTAAGCAATGAATGAAAAGAAATGTTTAAAGTTCCAGAAATAAATAGAGTTCGATGTCACTGAGGAAAGAGAGGAATCAACAAGGAAAAATGATTGACCATACAGATGATGCAGTTATGGAGAGGTTGTAGGCATGTCTAGAAAACTAGATATGCATTCTCGTCCTCAAGAGTTGCCCTACTGAAGTTCAGTTAACCACTTAATTAAAACAAGAACAGCCCTAGTACATCTAGAACTCCACACACAGATGTATGTAAAGAGATTCTGAATCTGACAAACTTGGGTTCAAATTCCTGCTCCTCTACTGACTGCTTAACTTAAAGTTACTGAGCTTCTCTGACTAAGGTTCTTCATGTAACAATAACATCTATCCCATAAGTTATCAGAACTGCCAAAAGACAAATCTTGTAAAGAGCTTAGCACAGTGTCTGGCACAAGACAATCATTTAAGAAACACAGCTATAATTAGGATTAAGAGGACCCAAGCTTTAAAGGCAAGAAAACAAGTCGAACAGGAAAGAGTAATATATCCAGCTACACGATCCTTTAAACTTTTATATGTAAAAAATATAAAACAACATTGAAAGCTAAACCTCAAACAAAGAAAAAAAAGGGGGAGGGTATGGAATCGATTTATATAAATTATTTTTCTCTTACAACAAAAAATCCCAATACGAAAAAGATGCACTGACATCCTCTTTGCCTGTAAAAACTACCCCGAGTTTAGGAAACCCCTAGATGGGCATCTTCCATTTTCCATGTACTGTGGTACATGAGGCATCGTAGAGCTCATAAACTCCAAATCTGGGGTACAGCATTCCTTATGTCCTTAAAGAAAAGAACTACTTGAAGCCTAAAATAACAGTATCTAAAATATTTGGCTCAGATGACACCAATCTCTCACAGACTAATGCAAATCTATTACTAGCTGTTTAAATTAAAAATGAAGCCTATCTCCAGTGTATACTCTTAACACCAACCTAATGATTTTTCCAGCTACAAGAAAGAGGGGCCCAGAACTGCCCTGGGATAAGGGGAGCAGCTGGTGACAGGCCACGGGGCTGCGCCTCTTCCTTGACCCGTGTTTCACCCCCACAACCTGCAAGGAATTCCAGTTCTACGTGCAGTTGTCTGACATAGTTGAGGTCCAATTTCTTTTTAGACTTTTTGTAAAACTGAAAAATAATTGTAACAACCCATATCAAATCTCTCGCCTACTGATCTGATCTCAAAGTCAAGAAAATTTGGTCAAAACGACTATATATCACTATTCATAATTGACGTAACTCAAACTTTCCAATGAAAATTTAAAGCACATGATTATATGGAACAACCCCTTCCCACCCCCACCCCCCACTCAGTTTTTCCTTATCTTTAGAAAACACTACCAACATTTCAGTTGGGGCAAATACTGCACTTAGCAATACTTAGTTTTGGAAAAATTTCTTTATTACTATGCCTAAAGCAACAAAGATATTCCTATTGTGTTAATATTAAACAGAACAAAATATTGTGGAACCTGTTCATAAGGTTGGCGACAGAAATAAAACCAAATTGTTAACTTTGTTCTATCTTTTCTGTGTACAGCACATACATGTGGGATTACAGACTTTAGCTTGGAATATATTTTAAATACTAATTAACTCAAAGTCTGGAAGAAAGATATTCTACCTCTGGCTAAACCGAAATTTTGACTAGTAAAAGTATCTGCATTACAGAACAATTACAGATTTTTCCAAAGTATGAATCATAATCCAAATTAAAGTATAATATAAAGCATTCTGTAGGTACTTCAAAATCTTATACAGAAGCTAGCCATTGAGTTTTAAAAATTTATTTGCATGGTTCAGCATAGTTAAGTAAAAGTAGAGACAAAGACTAAAATTATCTGTAATAATCCTATGACAACATACTATGCCCAATGGTTTTTTTTTTTGGTTGGTTTTTTTTTTTTGAGTTGGAGTCTCACTCTATTGCCAAGACTGGAGTGCAGCAGCCGCTCCCAGCCACCGCAGCCTCGACCTGCTGGGCTCTGACGATCCTCCCGCCTCAGCCTTCCACGTAGCTGGAACTACAGGCGCGCGCTACCACGCCTGGCTAATTTTTTATTTATTGTAGAGACGAGGTCTCGCCAAGCTGCCCAGGCAGATCTTGAACCCTCGGCTCAGGCAATCCACTCACCTCAGCCTCCCAAGGCGCAGGATTACAGGCTGAGCCACCGAGCCCAGCTCTATACCCAATGGTTTTAGAGAAAATCCTTGACACGGTTTAAGTAAAATTTTTATTTCCTTGTAAAAATGTAAAACAAAGACAACATATGGAGCTTCCTATTCAAGTTCCAAGTAATTGGAACTTTCTGTATTAAATCTTATGACTCTTGAATGGGATGCCCTGAATAACTCTGTATTAAGAATAACTGAACTCAAATGTTAACAACGTTGAGAAGAGGGGGGAAAAAACCTTAATAAAAGAAAAAATACTACAAGCAGGAAAAACTCCAAAAGCCAGGCCAAAATCATTTAGTTGGTTAGTGAGCCACTAACCTCACTTTGATTATAAAACGTTTCACATCACCTAAGCATATTAGCTGAACCATCCAAACCCTTCACACATACCGCCCCGTACAGACACAGAGTAGCCACAACATTCACTTGCAAGAAATATCTAATAAAAAGTGTCTTTACCTGTAAATTGTTTTCTGCGACTCTGTTCCACCAAACCATATTGATGGGCACTCCTGATTTACACCTGTCAGCAAGGCAGCCAATAGGGTTCTTTGCTTTTCGCGCCTTTGATCCCATCGGAACTAGCCTCTCCTCCAGCATCCCCAGGCGAAACTTCCTTGGCTAGGAAAAAGAAGGAAAGAAACCAGGCCACTCCTAACATCCCCCACACTCATCTAAGCTAGCATCACCAACACAAAAAAGATACTGGGAATGGTGGAATAGGAAGCAAGGTACATTTCTAAGACACCCCTAGTCCTTATCATCACCCGCCATCTCCCACCCCACACCAAACCCGCACCTCAGAATAACCCACAGTCCTAATAGGCTGAACAACATTACATACAGGAACAAATGTCTAAATACATTGTAACCTGATTTTATAAGACTTTAGTGAAAAGAAATTAACTTATCAGCAAAGTAAATGCTTGGCAAAAATTTTTTGGCTGTCACTTACCTATTCTCACTGCAATATGAAGAAATGGTGTCAAGAGCACACAACACAGATTTTTAAAAAGTTGTCCAAACTACATCTTTGCCAGCTCTTCATCTTGCTACATTATTTCCTACTGAGAACTACCCCACTCTAAAAAGTAGCTGATTCCCAAGAACAGATTTAAAAAAAAATTTAATTCTATGCATATTAGAGCAGAATGCAAGTCACTCCATCTTATTTGGGCATTCAACTTAAAGCACTCACCAAAAACAAGTAATTTCAGGCTAAAAATCAAAATGATAACACAAATTTCATTGGTCAACCTCAGTAATATGAACAGATTGACACTGAATAAAACTGTCCAAAAAAATCATAAATGTGTTGGCTAACATCATAAAAAAGTTAGTAAACCATCTTAATAGTGGTTAGCAGGACTTTTATACATGAAAATTAAAGACAGTTTCCACCATCTTACTTCTTTTAATTATAGCAAATTTACACTACACTGCATCTTAAAGGAAATATGTGTGTGTATCCATGAGGAGGAAGGTATTTAATTTAAATCCTGAAATAAGAAAATCTATGTTTACTCACTGGTCTGTCATGATATAATAACTGTTGAAACAAATAGTTAAAAGTAAGTTTCTTCAAAAACAGATGCCATAGCCAAACAACTACATTACAAAATTTTTTTCTAGAATAAAGAAAACCAACTTGACGAAAACATCTGATCTCAAAATTTCAGAAGTCTTGCAAATAATGCCTATAGAAATTGTTCTATGCAAATCAGATTCTCAGCTCCACAAGTGGGCATCTGCTATATTATCTGATTTAAAGAGGACAAAAATAATTAAACTTGCTTTTAAAAAGGTAATCAGATTACCTCCCTATCCAATAATTACAGCAGTGGAGAGTTTTATACAACTAAATTATCTCTACTGTCATGCAATCTTGGACCAATCTAGTTACTCTCTGTGTCTGTATCAGAAGAAACTTGTGAATGTGAGTAAATATGTACTCTTAATGGTTCATGCCATGGAACCACATGAAAGAATTTTAAAGCAAGTTATTTCTAGTAACATAACTCCTTGAAAATAGTTTAAGATTAAACTAATACGTTTTTGTATTCAAGTAGCCAACCATAAGGCTTTGACATATAGTAAGAATAATATAACCTTAGTTAAGTATTAACTAATTTAAAATTTGTATTTCAAACAACTTCTGGGATAAAGATTATCCTTACTCTACCAGGTAAGTTCAACACATCAAAGAAGTACAGTTGGGGCAAACACTACGTCAACGAAATCACAATTTGTCAAATAGCACTTATATAAGAACACCAAGTTTGAATGCAAGAAAATTACTGCTTTCAATGGTCTTCTGTAATTCAGATGCTTCAGACTCACTTTTGATCCAGTTATTTTAGTCAATACAATCTACTTTGTAAATAGTAGTACATTAAACATGGAAAAAAAGGTTTTAAATACATCCAGTGTAGGACCCTTCTGCAACAGCTCTCAGTGTGTCATGTCATTATGTTTGTTTCTCATCACTCCTCTCCTTCTCCCTTGTGCCTGAAAGCCTATAATGAGCCTAAATTCTAGGTAGAAGAGATCTCCAAACATGTGTCACACAAACGTAAGTTCTTTTTTAATAAAGAGATAAAATTTTAATCCAAAAGTAAAACCTTCTGTGTGATACTGAATGAGAGTATCTATGGTGTCGATGCTATTTACAATATCATTATAAGCAGAACACAAAATGACACCTGAAAAGAGAAGGCAGCAACAGAAGACACAACAGTGTGTGAGACACAAAGACCACAGAAACAAATTCACTGCACAGATTTAAACCATGGCACGTCCTCGTCTGTAAGCAATTTCCAAATCATTTGAATTATTACCTAATGAGCCTGCATTTCTTTTACAATTTCCTCTGACTTCAAATGGTCTTCCCTCAGTTAATTAAATGTTCTGATATTTTAGCATATTTGTAATTATGAGAATATATGATTATACCATTAATGATTAGTGGTCAATCTAAACTCACTGGGGAAAAACAGATCCCAAAATGATTAAAACCATTTGAATTTTTAAAATCAAGTACTCTTTTTTTTTGAGCCGGAGTCTCACTCTATCACCCAGGCTACAGTGCAGTGGTACATTCACAGCCACCACAGCCTCGGCATCCTGGACTCTGGGCGATACTTCCACCTCAGCCTTCCAAGTAGCTGGAACTATAGGCATGTACCACTACGTCCAGCTAAATTTTTTATTCCTTGTAGAGACAATGTCTCACCAGGTTGCACAGGCTTGTCTCGAACGTCTGGGCTCAGGCAATCCTCTCGCCTCTGCCTCCAAAAGTGCTAGGATAACAGGCGTGAGCCACTGCACCCAGCTCAAATAATTTAATTTTCATATAATCATTAACACAAGGACCTACATAGAGTACTAACTGGGAGTGTTACTACATGTAGATTTTAAAGTCTCCTATGGCTAATTAATTTATAATAGTAAATCCAAACCTACAATTCACTATAAGTTAGACTCTAGGGAATTTTCTCCATGGGGAGAAGACCTGAAAGTCAAAAACAAAACTGGCCAGCCTCAAAGATTATGCTGTATTTTGGCCCTCCATTCATTAGCATTAGTTGTGGGCTTTTCATGAAAATATATTAGGTTCCTTATGTTTCCATTGTTTAAGTTTAAATAGAGATGGGGGAAAGGCAGGATTTTGGTTAAATTTGGCTTGAAACAAAGGCTGGCGTGTGTGCATGCAAGCTCTAAACTCATCTTTACTAACTCACTCCCCACTCCTGCTACCTAGGAAAACAGGCATGAACTATCATTAATGCCAGACTTTCACTAGCAGCGTTATCAGAGTCAAGTGTAAAGAAGCCAACTGGCTTAGCTCGGTGATCTGCTAGCTCATGGGTCGCAAATGGTAAAGGCACCAGGGTTTTACTAAACTACCATTACTATGTAAGATCAAATTCAGAATCCTCAAAGCTACAAAACCAGATGGCGAGTACCACCAAGGGTATTCCATTCTCTGTATGAAAGGCACACACACTCAAGTTCACAGGTTTAAATACGGTCAAGTGCAGAGACCGTGTCACACATACACCTAAAGAAATGGGTTCCAAAACAAAGCCTCTCATGAGAGTTTTTTTCCCTCAAATCAATAGAACAAAATTCCCCTACAATGAAGATTTTGGAGGAATCTTTCTTGATTCAACAAAAACAAATAGTCACTGCACAGAAGTGCCAATTAAAATAAAGTGCAGAAGAAAGTACACTGTTGAACCTCTCACTTTTTATAACAAAATGTAAGCTGTTCTTGCCAAAGTACATCTTTATCTCAACACAATACTGTAAAGTCAATCTGCAGTACTCTTCACTTAGGAAGAAAAGAAAGTTAACTTTCAAAGTTGAATCTTCTTCTGTAGGAACTACCTTTTTTTTTTTTTGGAGTTGGAGTCTCACTCTGTCACCCAGGCTGGAGTGCAGTGACATGCTCACAGCCACCACAGCCTCGACCTGCTGGGCTCAGGCGATCCTTCTGCCTCAGTCTTCCAAGTAGCTGGAACTACACGTGTGTGCTACCACGCTTGGCTAATTTTTTGACTTATTGTAGAGACGAGGTCTCTCCATGTTGCCCAGGCTAGTCTCAAACCCCTGAGCATAGGTAATCCTCTGGTCTCGGTCTCCCAAAGTGCTGGGATTACAATCTTGAGCCACCATGCCCAGTGGGAACTACCATGTTTTTAAACAAGTTCCAATCTAATGTTACTTGCATATTTTAAGGAAAGAATAGACTGACACAAGAGATAAACAATAGAAAGAACATGTAAGTCTGCCAATTAAAAAGCAGAGAAGAGAGAGAACACATAGCCATTTGCTAATTAAGTTGATTAATAGAGATCATTAGCAATAAAAATGACAGTGTATTTAATTATATAAAAACAATGACAGCCCTTTATATTTAAATTACTAACTCATCATATATTGTAACAAAAATGAGCTTAATATTTTATTTTTAAAAGTACTTAATGTAAGATCAGAGTAAGCATGACATTCCAAAACTGACAGCATAAATTACTCATGAAATTCAAGACCAAAAACAAAATGAGGGCAGAGACCTCAGCATCTGACAGAAGAGATTTAAATCTCTAATATACAAAGAGCTTTTTAAGAGAGAGAGACAGACAAACAGACAAATAGATACAGGGTCTCACTCTGTCCCCAGGCTGAAGTGCAATGGCATGATCATAGCTCACCACATCACATCCTAGAACTCCTGGGCTCACAAAATCCTCCGGTCTCAGCTTCCCAAGCAGCTGGAATTACAGGGACATACCACAATGCCCAGCTTTTTTTTTTTTTTTTTTACAAAGCATCCTTACAATGAATTAAACAAAGAACAGTCCAATTGCAAAATAAGCGAAGAACATGAAAGAAATATCAATGGCCAATAAACATAAAAGGAGAGTTCAACAGCACCAATAATCAAATTTAAATGAGGTTTTGCTGTCTATGAAATTACAAGAAATTACAAGGATATGAAAGATTTTTGTATTCCATTGTTTTCAAAACTGTAGAAAAACCAATCTCTATACTCATAAATTTGTGCTGCATTTCTGAATGATTGTCTGTCAATTAACAAAAATTAATTGTATATTCTTGCC